AAATTTCTCGAGCAGGTTGGTAGCTATCATCATACCTAGGCGCATCAACGCCCCTGGGTCTCTAAGATTATCCCTGGGCACGTCGGGGCCCATTGCTTCACTGGCCCATGTCTGTGCTGCGTGAACGTCATGCCACGGTCCAGCTACACCTCTCATACAGTGTTGCTTCAGTTCTCGGAGCGTCTGGACACTCGGTATGTCGAGCGAGCTCAGTTCCGAAGTGTTTCCAAACTTTCTCAAATTTATGTCCATTTGATCGGCGTGAAAAGGCCGCCGCGTGGGGTCGGTGCGATCATTCGTCGGCCCCCCATCGACATCTCCGTCTGGGTCACCATCGCCCCCTGGCCCCCCACGGGGGCCTCCAGGCAGCTTGGACTCACCCGTCTCATCAAGCTGCAACGCAACAATGATTCCCGTGCTGGGGGCTATACTCTGATCATCTCTTCGAACGTCATCGCGGCCTCCCGGGCCCCCACCTCCTTCACCAGAAACGGCTGGGCCGACTGTGAAAGGAAGGTGTCCGAGCAAGTCGAGGTTGTTAGGGTGATCTGATATCATCGCGTTGAAAAGAACATCCCCAAGGTTCACCCCTTGGGCGCCCTCCCGCGTCGAACTCTCGCTCGTTCCCAAGGTCTTCTCGACGGCCGGTCCAGGAACGAAATGCGATTATGCAAGAGGAAGCGTCTGCATCGACGGAGCAGTCAGCAAGGGCTTCTCATCATGGCCCGACTTCTGCGATTTGAAAAACGCCCATAATGTCGGCAAGATTACTCATCCGGCGTTCAGGTTTATCGTCCTCAGGCAAAGCCGAGTGTCTCGGCGCCTTCCAATCAGGATCATTACCTGTGTGCTGCGCGTCAGGCATCTCCCGAGGTCATTTCCTCTCCTGGCTATCATCCTGATGCCCGAACGTTTTTCTCCGAGCGAATTCGTCACAGCGTTTGGTACCCATGCCAGATGATCATTGCGCGCGTGCTTCAAACAACCCTTGCACGCCTCGGTCGAACATCACGCACAAATGCAACAGGCCTGTTTCGGAACGCCAGATCGCCCACGCGCTCGCGACGCACTCGGTTTCCGAACAGGTCGAGGAGCACTGGGGCAAGGAGGCGGCTCAACATGCGCCGGCCGTGCCGGCGTTGAATCAGCCTCTTTCCCCATTCGTCGTTGCTCAAGATCGGACCTCAGACTTTTGTTTTTTCTCGCTTGCGGCCCGAGTTGCAAGGGCGTCGTTTCGCATCTGTTCTCTTGCGTGCCCCTTCAAACGAGCCAAGGCATCAACCATTATTTTATGGATCTCTTCTCTGGTTGCCTGGGTATGTTGTTCTTGTTCTCTAAGGGCTAGCAGATTGCGGGGCTCCTGATTTTCCCGCGCTGCCTGTTCTCGGGCTTCTCTCTCACTCTCCTTCCCTCCTTGCAGCATCAGCCATGTCTCTGCATTCAGCTTTCTCCCTTTCTGCCTTCTGTTGAGAGTCAGACACCTCGTTCTCCGCAATGCTCTGAATTCTCAACTAGAGCAAGGCGCCGCTTTGCTTCGTCCGCCATGCCAGCTGCGTTGGCCTCAGCATGCTGCATCAACTTCTGCGCATATCCCACGAAGATGGTCTTCCCATGCCCCATTATTTGCGCAATTGCCTGCTGTTCGGCATCAGAACTTGCAAGCCGACGTTGGGCCCCTTCGGCAGCCTTCTCATTGACCTGTGCCTCAGAGATAAGCCGTTGCACGTGCGCGCTCGCAGCCCTCAGCTGCTCTCGATCCTGCCTGATTCTTTCAGCCCGTTCTTGAATCGCAAGACGATGGCAATTGTGCTCTTCCATCGCGACGCACTCGCTAGAAAGCCACGCGGGGCTACATTTGGAGCAAACACTCGAGCATTGAGAACGCGCTGGTCTGCGACATGACCCCCCCGGGTTGCGCGCTTTCCCGGGGCGCGGACCCCCCGCCAGGGAAGGGCGCGCTGGCCCGGCGCCCCAGCAACCCTCCCGCATCGACAAACTGCCGGCAGTTCTATTAGATGAGGTTCGCGGCGAGTCACAGGCACTAAACCCCCTGGAGCTGGAACCCCCGCCCTTGGGGGCCTTGCTGGGACGCCCCCTCTCGCCATTCAGGGTGGGCGCGCGTTGTCCCCTCGCCCTTGCGCCCCTCTTGCACGCATCGACATCCACGCCCCTTGCCAACTCATCTCGATCATCCTGAGCGACAAGCGGATCGAGTTCTGGCACTCTATCTCCGCTTGTTCTAGGCAATAAGAAATCTGGCATGTAAAAAACCCGCGATAAAGGCGAAACATCCAAGTCGCCATTATCACTCTTTGGTTTCTTCGTCAGAGGATGAGGAGTCGCCCCCGAGATCTCTCGTGCACTTCTCACCGATCGCATTGCGTCGGGGGCGCTCATTATCATCGGCTGTGCCGATGAGCATTCATCTTGAATCAGGCGCTTCCCGTCTTTACACTCATCGTCTGAGTCGAGAATGGGCTTCGGACTTGCATCAATCATTATACGGTCAGAAACAGGATCGGCACGCAGATCAAGAAGAGGTTCGAGATGACGAGACGGACCAGGCGAAGTGTGAAAATTGAGCATACCCCTCGCTATTTTCCATCGAATGGGAACTGCCCCCTTTCAGACTGCACATCGCTCACACCGCATACAACGCATATTGGACCGCACGCTCGGCGCCCATATGTTCAACGAATGATGCTTCGATGGGGGCGCGGTTCAGCAACTTCTCCATCTCGAGATCTATGCCAATCGACGTCTGAAAGCCAGGGTGTCCAATCAGCAATTCGGAAAATCCCTCGGTAGAAGTTCTGGCTGTGCCATACCTTCCGCCCGGGCGAAACTCTCTGGTCCTTCTCTGAATCAACCGATGAATCCCCTTCTGTCACATCGAACATAGTCTCTGATGCTTTCTTACTGGGGAGAATGGGAGAGCTCCGTCGCCTCACTGAGGCGCTTATACTTGCGTCACGCACGGAGGGTAATCGATCTTCTGTTCTCCCGAGCGCTCCTTCTTGAGATCCCATGCTCTGCGAAGCGAACGGCTGGCCGTCGTTTCGGCTGATAACCAAACTTTTGCCTGGAGATTCTTAATCCCTGCTAGGTGTCCCGATGATGTCTCATATTCAGTGGGCTCCACAGATGACATGGGCAAGAAGGGATAATGCCGTCAAGCATGCACCAAAGTAACACTGAAAAGAGGAGGCCGGCCCGCCGGCCGACGCACGCGCACGCGCCGCAAGCTCGCTCCTTTTCGGTTTCCCTAAAGCCAAGTACATAGCTGCGGGAACGCAAGTCAAGAAAGAAGAGCAGCAGACAGTGCAGGCGCAGGCAATGCGAGTGAGACGGGCAGGAACTGGTGGCGCGGAGGGGCGCATTGAGTCGTAGTCCTTGCAGCGCGAACAAAAAACACAATGCAACGTCGCTTTTTGATCCTGAGGTATTCCAACGCGGGACTTTACCAACGCATTCCACTGTTCAAGCTCGGCCGCCACGTCGGTAACCTTCTTGAATTTGTCGAGATTCATGGCCACGTTCATGCTGCGTGACAGCGTGACTCCTGTAACGGCCGGGTGCAATCAATGTATGGATAAATGTGTACTTAAGTGTGCTTGGTTGTATGAATGTATATATGTTGTATTTATATGTGCCAATACATATATACGTAAAGATACAGATACAAATGTGTACCCTGATAGGCAATTAAAACGTATCCTTCGTGCAAGCCCACGAGTGCTGCACGCGGCTCCGTCTCTTCCAATTTGTCATTTAACAAAAGCCAAAAGTCGTCGTCCAACTTTGCGCAGGCCGTCTTCATCGAATTCAAACTCTCCTATAGCATCGTCTTCCGCGTTTCTTGATTAGCGGCGGTTTGGTGCCTTCGGTCAAGGTGACTATATATACACATATGTCAAGCCGTCCTCTTCGTCATCGGGCAACGCCCCATCCATGGTGTTCAAATACTTGCATGGTTTTCCGATATCCGCGATTCACTTGGGCGCGCGCGCTCAGCAACTTCTCGCCCCACTCCCTGAACTTGGTCAGGCGACCCGGGAATAGATTTAACTGTTGAGCGGCCTTGTGTTCACTCAACTGTTTGTTCCCACCTCCTCCGGCCCTCGTGCTTCCGGTGTTTCGGGGATCTAGCGCGTTCGTTTGGCGTGCGGGCTGTATCAGACTGTCTTCATTCACGCTGTCGACATGTTATTCGCAGTGCGTGCTGCGGCTGTTGGTGACCGAGACCAGAAGAGCATTCAGTCATCTCGTGGCACATCTGCATCATCGTCACTCGTGGCACATCTGCATCATCGTCAATGCCTCATTCTCGTCAACCGTATGGGTACCAAGCGTGGCACTACGCTCGAAAAGTAACATCATCCTTTCGTGGTTGACTTTGAGGGCGGTGGCAATATACCCGGAACCGCCGTCCTCGTAACCGACGTGGCACAATTCCGCGAATCGGTTCGTGCCTAGATTCCACCAGGCTTCACGTATTTCAGGTAACGATACATTGAAACTCGGGACGTTGTTGACGGGGCCCACTCGGGTCGCCGCAGCGGCCGCCGATGCCATCTCTGCTCTGGAATGGAAGCCGTGGGGCGAACCACGGGCTCCGCCGCTACCATGAAAATGTGGTAGGAGCGATTTGTTTGAGAAAACGAGAAGGTATTTGAGCCAAATGTCAGCGGTAACGCTAACACCTGATTGCAAAACGTGCGGCTGTGCCCCCCACCCAGTCGCATGGCCATGTTCTAACACCTCCTCCTCCCCCTCCTCCTCATCCTCCACCTCCTCCTCCTCCGATCGTCCTCGGGGGTCCACTGCTGCCTTTGACAGTAGGCCCACCAATATACCCCGCCCCCGCCCCCCCAAAAAAACAATCGCGGTTGGAAGGGAGAACGTCGGGAGGGTTCCTACTCCTCCGCCATCTCCTCTCCTTCTCATTCCTCGTCCTCCCCTTTCGACTCTTACCATCGATTCGCCCCTTCGCTCCTCTCGCTCGCACAATTCACCCTCGCCCCACCGCACATCCGCACGTCCTCACTATACCAGCGGTGAAACACGGAGGCGCGACTTCAAGAGCAGTTGAGCAGCTGAGCAGGGGCCCGCCATGGAAGGAGCAAAAAGATTCACGCCACGGATGTCCACAAGGGAGACAGGCGGAACGGATAGGAAGAGGAGGGGAAGGGGGGCAGGGAACGAGAGGCGGAGGGAGCAGGAGGATCGAGTGGACAAGGAGCAGGGAGGCAAGTGGAGTGGGAGGGGAGGGAGGGGAAGCAGAATAAAATGAAGAGGTTGGACCGTGGAGAAGGCTCCTCCTCCTCCTCGTCTTCCTCCTGTTCCTCCTCCTCCTCCTTCTCCTCCTCCTCTATTCCTTTCCCTTGTGAATAACCCTTCCCTGTTGCACCCCGAGGCGTGTTGGTAGGGCGGGCCGGGCGTTTCACCTGAGACTTCCACACGATCAATGATCCTGGAGCTAGAAAGCTGCAAGACGTTCACGGAGGGAGGGCGTGTCATTTTCAAATGTGGCTCTGGCCTTAGCGCCGCGCGCATTCGTCTTCAAAGTTCGCAAGAGCTTCACAGATGGAGGGCGGGCCAATTCCAGAATGTGGCTCTGGCCTAAGCGCCACGCGCATTCGTTTTAAAATGTGTTCCGGCCCAAGCTCCACGCAGTTTCATCTTAGAAGGTTGGAAGAACTTCGCGGCTGGAACGCGGTTCCTTTTCAAAATGTGGCTCTCGCTTTAGCGCCACGCACCTTTGTCACGAGAACTTACAACAGTCTCAATGATTCCTATGGTTGACGTCCCAGAAGTGGTGTTCGGTCACGGTGCAGAACTGTCAGGGCGCAGAAGTCGCGTTGATTCGCGGTGTTGAATCTCGAGGAACGGCGTTCTGGCACGATTCAGGATCGTGTGGACGGTGGACTCAGCAGTCACGTTGATTCGCAGTGCTGCAGTCCCACGAAAGATGTTTGGCATGGTTCAGGATGTTCAAATGATTCTCTTCCAACGGGACACTCCCCCGAGTGCCAATGAATCCTTGTAGGGGCCCATGAGGAGGGAACTTTGAGGGAGGGTTTATTGCAACATCGTTGGTCGGTCTTGGGTTTACACTGGCCCGCCTCCTCGTCATCATCCACATTATCATCCTCACCACCACCATCACCAGCACCATCGCCAACACCATCACCATCACCACCACCGTCATCATCAGCAGCACCATCATCCTCATCACCATCATCATCATCATCATCATCATCATCAGCATCATCATCAGCAGCATCAGCAGCAGCAGCAGCATCATCAGCATCATCATCAAAATCATCATCTTCATCATCTCCACGATCATCATGCTCCCACATCCTGCCCAGGTGCTTACACCCTGCCTGGGAGACGAGGACAAGGGGACGAAGGGGGCTGGGCGGCCGAGCTGCCAGAGAGCCGCCAGTCCGCCGTCGGCCGTGCCGTGCGGTGGGGCCTCGAGACGAAGCTGCGCGCACCATATTCGGCGCTCTGCTCCGCCTGCTTTTCTGGCCCGTCGGGCAGGATTGCAGCAGAATCGGTAAGGGCTTAGCGACTTCTGCTGTCCCTCGACTCGCGCTGAAGCTTTCCCTACCTCTCCGGATGTACCTGTCTCCATGTTTATTTCGTTTTACACGGATGTGCATTAAATTGCATGATTAATTGTACTTTGAGTCGACTTGATTTATCTCCGCAAGTCGATTGGAGAAAAGTCGTCAAGCTCTTAAGGACAGAAGGTCTGCAGCCGACCAGCACAAATATAGCAGGGGCCGACCAGAGCGGGGCCCTGCTTGCGTTGCCGCGGTGTTTTCGTTTTGGCGCGAGGCTGGTCCGAGATACTTTCCACGAGCATCGTTCTGGTGCACCCCTGGAGGCGCGGCTGAAAAAATGATGGGCCACAGAGCGAACACGTTGCGAAACGGGGACCGCCCACGAGGCTGCCCCAAACGGAGCTCCGCAGATCTTCGGCAGCTCGATCTTGCTCGGACCACCCGCCGCTGGAGCACTCGACTCGACCCCGCGCCCCTGGGCCACGTTTCACGGTCTCTCGGCCGAGCGACGGCGCCCCGGACGAGGGCACTGGCGAACAACTTCCGACATGAGGTGTTCGGAGGGTGGGGTGGGGCCAAAGGTGGAGTGCGAGAGGAAGACTGATTTGGACAACCCCTGGAGGACGGAAGCATGAGCCTGAAGCTGCGTTCGCTCTCTAACCCCACCTTGGGCTACACCCCCCCCCAAGAAAAAATCCCACCAGCTCGTTGGGCGAAGGTGGTCTAACGAAGTCTTCCTTTCCTCTTCCGAAAACCTCTTCCTTTCCAGGGGGGGTACTCCCCCTCCCTAGGTTTTTGGGGGTGGGGCGATCGGCTAGAGCGCCCAAGATATCTCAAAATGGCTCCAAAAGGGCCTCCGATTCTCCTAAATGGCCTCCAAGATGAGTCACGATAGCCGACAATGCTTCAAAGTGCCCTCCGACAT